ATGCTCAACATTTTGCTAACACTGTTGTCAAAATAAATTTAAGAAAGCCTGTTTTTCTTGTCTAAACAGGAAGGGAAATGTCACGAAGGTGCTAAACCACAGCGAGTTGTGTTCTGTAGCAACTTGGGATTCCTCTTTACAACTGGATTTACAAGAATGAGCAAGCGTGTCTGGGCTGTTTGGGACCAGGTATGTTTTATTTAAGATTAACATAAGAGTTTCATCAACTCCCATGCCCTGGTTTTTAAAAGTTACATGAGTGTCGACTGGCATGTGTTCTATTGTTTGTTTATTATGTTGTTTTAGAACAATTTAGAGAAGCCTCTTCATCTCGATGAACTTGACTCAAGCAATGGTGTAAACTTTCCTTATTACGACCAAGACACAAAAATGATCTACCTTGTTGGAAAGGTTTGTTAGTTTACTCTGGAGCGGTTATAGGATACCTGTCCACTTTTCCCTGTTGTTTAAACACACAAAGAAATAGAGGAATACTTAATATTTGATGAAATCATATGAATATACATGTACTGTATGTGGTTTTAATCAAATTTGAAATGCATGATTGAAGAACGAGGCAGTTATAAATTATATATATTTTGAGCAATTTGTTTATATTTACAAGGGGTTAGTAGGCGTCAGAATGGTGGCTGTTCTACAATTTCATCTGCTGTAGGAGACATATTTAAGTTGCATTGTTTCAGACCGAGTGCCTGGCACTGGTGCCCAATGTTCAAACTGGTTCCCAAAACATATTGAGCACAGTACCGTTGTTGAGTACTACCTCTTAGTCTAGAAGTAGTGCCCTTTCTTGGGCACTCTGCCCAATTTCATTTGGAAACATCGTGTTCAATCTAGGCTCCAAAACAAGTGACGGGCACCCAGTCTGAATGCAGCCTATTTTACTCTGTCTAACGCAAGATGGCTTTGCTTGTCAGGAAGAGAGCACTTTGGTTCAGTGGGTTAATCTGCCCATGTATCTAGTTAACCCAACTTTGTTATTTTGCCAGATGATTTTACTCTTCAAGTCAGTCAATGAGAGAGTACTGGACGTGCTCAATAGGTTAATCAGACTATCTGCCCATGTATCTAGGGGAGAGTGCTGCCTCTCAATGAGTTAAATTGCTTACCTTTCTTACAGGGTGACAGTGTTATCCGCTATTATGAATTGGTTCCCGAGGCTCCATATTGTCACTATTTGAGTACATACCAAAGTTCAGATCCTCAGAAGGGATGTGGTTACATGCCAAAGCGAGGCTGCAATGTGAACCAGAACGAAGTGATCAGGTTCTTCAAAATTCACAGCACGAAACCCATCTGTGAGCCAATCAGCTTTACTGTACCGAGAAAGGTTTGTAATAGGGCAGATGCTTTCATCAGGGGTTGAAATTAACGGGCGCCAGGTCGCCAATTCTTAAAGCCTTACAGGTAAAATACGTCAAGCGTCCCTCTTTTAAGTTCCTGAACCTAAACTTTGAAAAATCCTTTACAAAAATCCCTGGAGGGAATTTGCAATGTTCCTATCGGCTGTTGCAGTATTCCAATGAAAGTTACTTTTAAATTTTCCTAACTTCCTGTTTTAATTTCCTGACTTCTTGTTTTTTTGGGCGTTGTCATTGGTGGATATTTTTGTTAGCCAATTACAACACACAGAACAGGAAGTTAGGAGTTTGTAACAGGAAGTTAATAGTGAGCTTAAGCAAGTGACGTTTTTGACAACACGAACGGCATGAGTAACGTCAGAAGACTGGGTCAAGGGCTGTGATTGGTGAAAAACGTCAACTTTACTTCCTGTCGACGTCCGTGTTGTCAAAAACGTCACTTGCTTAAACTCACTAATGACTTCTAACAGGAACTGAAGAAAATTTAATTGGCTTTTAGGAACATTGCAAATTCCCTCAAGGGATATGCAAGGGAGTTTTTCAAATTTGCAAAGGTAATGAGGAAAATTGCAATCAAATTAGGAACTCAAAAGAGGAACGCTTGACGTAGTTTAGCTGTACTCTGCAGTGTCAGAATAAAACCACACACTCGAACCGACTTGACCTCTTCGCTAAGTTGTCAGAGCATTGGTCCAGAATCCCAAAGGTCTCTGGTTCGATTCCAACTGTAGTCAGGCAAACTTTTCAGCCTGCCTGGATACACACTCGGAGTAACGCCAGAAACATGATATGAATCTAGTTATGCAAAATAGTACTCAAGCAAATTTTGAAGTGATTCAATGAACTTCATGTAGATTTTTTACTGTTTATCTTTAGTCGGAATTATTCCAAGATGACATTTTCCCCGACACCGCCTCGGACGATCCAGCTCTGACGGCAGATGAGTGGATTGAAGGAAAGGATGCTGAGCCAAGAACATTCTCCCTCAAGGAAGGCTTCAAACCGAAAGAGAAAGGTGCGACGGCTATTGGAACAAAGAATGTCATGGCTGGTTTGAGTTCCCGAAAACTGGATAAATCCGCCAGCAGCACTAGTGTAAGTTGTTAATTAATATTGAGTTCCAGTGAGGCCAAAAAAAAATATGTGGGTTTCCGGTTTCCCGACCCTACCTAGCTTTTGGACGCCGAAATTCCGACCCTAAACTTTTTTATTGGATCACGCGCTTGTAAGTGTTTCCACTTAGAGGAAAACGTTTGTGGAAAATGGAAATTTGAGGCAAAATTAGGGAAATTTATCTTCGGATGTGGAAGCAATAACTAAACAAAATGGCGTCCGGCTGTTAGGAAAATAAAAAAAAAGCTTAAAAAAAAGTTAAAACCGACCTACCCTACCTAAAGTTTTACAAGAAGAAATCGGAAACCCACATATTTTTTTTGCCTGAGCTCCATATATATCCATATATACAGTATACACAGGTCAGGCTAGCACAAGGCAAGCAAAAAAGTGGCTCTGACGACCTTGACCCCACTCTAGACCCAGTCCCCAGTAGTGCGTGAGAAAAACATGTTCTGCCTATTTCGTTCCTCAGCCGGCAGAAAATAACACTTCAGTCACTCAGCCTATGAGAAAAGTGAAGCCAAAATATTGAATTGACGTTCAAAATGTCTGAAATTCGGAATGATCGGACTGTGAAAGTTGGTATTAATCGTACAATAATCGGCAGATTATTTTAAAATGACTGATTATTATCTCATTAATCGACTCATCTTTAATCAATAAACTAATCATTAACAGGATGTTGAAGTACAAAGCCTCGTGGATGAGGTTGCAGGTCTCAAAAAAAGAGTGGAGGAAAACGAAAAAGAAATTGCTCAACTCAAAGAGGAAGTGAAGGAGCTCAAAGAAAAATAAATCTTCATCTTCCCAACAGACTGAATGACTAAATAATCTCGATCCAATCAACACAGAGATCAATATGACTTTTGATATAATGTTCTGTAAATTTGTGTTCGGATGTCGGACACGACATGAACTAAATAAACAATATGAATTATTTGGAAATAAATGAGACGCTTTGTAGAAATGTATGACTCCATGTAGGTAAATATTTTCACAAGAAAGGCTCACATAGATTGTCTAAAGTAAAATTACATTTTAATATTGGCTTCCTTTGCTTGTTGGTGTTTTTTAGTGTTTAAAACATAAACAACTTTATTATTTGCATGACGAAATTACTGAATCCTGATTCGTTGAGAGGAGTGCAATTCGCACGGTGCTCGTTTGCAAAAATAACTGCAAACTGCTCTAATTCTTTCTCTCACTTTTATTTGATCTCATCCGTGAGTCTGCCTCAACGGCCTTTGATTTCACAATGTCATGCATGACCGCTTGTGTAAAATTTTCAAACAACTCGTACTCTTAGATCACAATGATTTACCCATATTCGGCCATTTCCGAATTGTGCTGTTGTGATGAAGAACGGTGGCGCTAAGTCGAGGCTTCGTGCTAAATTTGCTATGGAAACATTACAACGTTGCACAAAGCCTCGTTCTTAGGCTTTTCCTGTGTCACGAATACTTCTTGGCGTGGGAGCCTCGCTTTCATGCGTCAAGGCGATTGGCTTCACAATTAAAATTAATGTGAATGACGGAAAGATTAGTGACGTAAGGGACTGGGTAGTCTGTAATAGCGTATTTTAATTTGTTCTGCAGGATTCGTTCAGTTCTAGACTAAACTGTCCTTGCAAGAAATCCATTCGGGTCCATCCCCCATTCAAGGGGCTAAGGCTAAGCCACACTCAAAAGGTGCCAGATTATTCGCTGCTTGAAATGCAAAGTGACCTGGTTTCTGCATTATGATAATCTAACACAGATGAAAAATGCCATTTCAGTCTTCAGATACCTCTGCTTCAGATACTGTAGTATTCAAAATTTCTCGGTAGCATGATTGGGTATAGACATACAGTTAATGATAGTGTGGTATAGCTATTGACAGTTGAGTACAGCTGTCGACAATTGGTATGTGTACCTATAGTATGATCTAATGGCACGACTCGTGGTATGACTATTGAAATGGTTTTCACTTGTTTCCATCTACCAAACTGACGTTATGTCATTTAATCAATTTCTAAAGTTGTTTCTTTTTGGATTTTTTTATTAGTTTGGTTAGAGTTAGGGGTTGAGTGGGGGAGGTAGAGTGGTTAGTTACACAGCCATTTAACACACCTTCCATCTTCCGAAAATGACATCACGTCAGTTTGGTAGATGGAAACAAGTGCTGACCACTGGTGCTGACTGGGTATGACTAAGCTATCAGCATATACCCAGTTACCCAAGAAGTTCCATACTTTTTCCATTTTCATCGGAAAAAATGGACTTCCTGACTCAACTTCTCGCAAAGTATCTGAGCTTTTACTGGTTATTTTATTCTTTAATTCATGTACAATATATACTGAATATAGTTTACAAAGAAATACATTAATTTAAATATTTAAAATTAAATATTCGAAAAATTAAAATATATTTTGAAAGAAAAACAAAGAATTTCCCATCGGCCTCAGTGATCGGCCTTCGAGAGATGACTGCTGCGCACGCGCAAAAATTATTTACAAAGTCCGCCATTTTGGATGTCGAGAAGCGGCAAGCTGAAGTGGCGAAAAAACGAAAATTAAACCGAAATAAACGCTATAAATTTTTGTTTTGCTTTGTTTCTTTTATAAAAATATGATACACTGGGTCCTCATTTATAAGGATTGATATAAATTCAGCGTGGATGGTTAGTTTTTGTATGCATTTTTGTAGATTTTTATGAAGCTTGTATGTCGTTGTATACCTGGGAAAATCCATCATGGCGGACCTGTCATGTAAAAATACCGCATCGGTATAAAGCATTCATCACCATTTTATTATTGTTTTTAGTGTCTGTTTGGTAGCACCTGATGGGATGCGTAATATTTTGCTGAGAATCGTCGTTATTTCCGTTTATAATGTCAGAAAATTATAATTTCCTACTTGATAATTGTGGATATTTTGCACAAAATTGGATTTCTGGTGTGTTAGCGTGTGTGAATTGCTCAAGAGCTTTGGAACCATTAGCAGGAAAGTGGGTTATTAACCACTTGTTGCAGTAATCGCTGGTTTCATGGCTCACCAGCCTGGAATAGGCCGTGGTGTGGGTCCAGGGGGGACGCCATATAGCTTTGACCCCATGCACCAACCGGACCAGCATATGCAGACCCACTTGCAATCACCTCGTGCCGAACACTATCCGCCAACAAGTCCAATTTTCACTGGCACACCTACATTGTCTGGACCTGTAACGCCATCGTGTACGACGCCACCTATGGGAACAACCAGTATCCCCCGTTACCCTCTAAGGTCACCCACACACCCGATGTATCCAGGGGACCAGCATCGTGTTTCACCTGTGAGTGCGAGAAACATAATGGATCCTAGTTTACAAATGCATTATCAATATCAGCAACTTTTCCATGGTAGACGACCTAGCTACTCCGAAGAACAGCCAATAACCTCATCCCCTGGGGGCACACACCATCTCCCTGGCTACCCCACAAGTGTGATGTCACAGCAGATGCCCAGCGTACCACCTTATCCAACTCAAAATATCCAAAAACGTACCCAACCTGTGAAAGGTGGCACAAGACGAAATCCTGGCCTACAGATTGACTTTTCTCCAACTAAAGCGGCAGAAATGGGTCATGAGGGATATCCGCCATCTACTAGCTCACCCTATCCCCCACAGATGCTGAGGTCTCCTGCCTATCCTACCATGCCCCAAAGCGTGGCTATCCCAGGGAATGCCAGTGAGGAGGTCAAAGAACTGAGACGGAAAGTTGTCGAATATTTTTACCAAAATATAGAACTTCTGAAAAAGCGATATCAGCATAGCCTACAGGAGTTATTCTTCCTGCAACACGGTGGAAACATCATAGATTTTCACTTATGGCGACGACGTCCAACACCACAGTGGATTAATTATCAGGCCACTCATAAGCTTGAAGACGAGATTGATTTCTTTGTGACTTCAAATCCAATGGAAAACACACAGGTTCAAAATGTTGGGAATGATTACATCACTTTGCAACATAAGTTCTATCCTGGGAACATTACACCAGGAAACGTTCAACAAGGTAAAATGCTTTCCGCAAGTGGGTTAGGGTTCGGGAATTCCCAGCGTGCTCACAATCCGCATTCCTCAAGTCATGTCCCCGGTAATCCTATTGGAGGCCATATAGACCTTGCAACCTCTAAACTGTTTATGTCTAAGGATGCGAATTTCGGGCCTGCCGTAATCCGGCAACTTAGTGGACATAATTCGTCAAGTAGTACACAAGACGATTTAGCTAGTGCTAAGGCACTTGCATTCAATAACTCGAAAGAGGATATCATGCTTGAAGCCAAGCGGGAAGCAGATATTTTGAAGAGGGTTTCTGAACTTAGAAAAGAGGGATTATGGTCCCCAAAGCGTTTGCCGAAGGTTCAAGAGCCGGGTCGAAATAAATCCCATTGGGATTACGTCTTGGAAGAGATGGCGTGGTTGGCGACAGATTTTGCACAAGAAAGACGATGGAAGAAAGGCGTTGCTAAAAAGGTATGTCCCAGGGCAACCATTTAGCCAGACAGCTGCCCAACTGTCCTGTGGACGGCTACTTTTTAATTTAGACAGCCAATTCTGAAAAATAAATACTAGCAACTCGCATGCTTTGTAATATATCTTGAATACCTTAAAAATTGTCAGCTGCTAATCACTTTATATATTGCATACTAGACTTGGGCGGTTTTTCGGGGTTTTTTCTTTTTTATTTTCAAACTGTTTTTTTATGGAAAAACCCTCATTACATAATTGTTTACTGTCATGGATCTTAATTCTCAAAACATGACACTAATTAAACTCAATTACATGACACTAAATAAAAATTCTATTCATACTGTTCGTTTGCTTATGTAAAAAAATACCACAATTCCTCCTCATTCAGTTGAAGTAAAAATTAAAGGGAAAAACCCAGTTTTTTGGTTTTACCGGTTTAGAATCAGATGGTTTTTCGGTTTTGATTTTAAGCAAAAACGCCCAAGCCTGTTGCATACATGTTGTCATTTTTGTCGACAAGACACCAGTTGACCACGAAAACTATCATCCATAAAAATGAGTGCCCCCACCCACAGTATTTTTTGGACAGCTAGTTTTGACACCCTGGCTAAAAGTCTGTCCCAGGGTGAGAAATCTAAATTTTTGTTCTGGATTCAGTTAATTAACTGGGATCCACAAACTTTTATTCCATAGCCATGAACATAGAAAGGCTGATTATTTTCAAGGTGACTGACTCACAAGGAGACCACCAAAGACATTTAATCCTAATATTTAATTTTTAAGAAAATATAAATAAAATCTTCATGTTTAAATGTTTAGCTAAGCAAAGCAGTTTTAAGATACCATCAAGAAATCAAGACCAAGGAAGTGAAAGCCGAGAAGGAATCGACTGTCAAGCTGCAGAAGATTGCCAGCAGTATAGCTAAGGAAGTTCGTCAGTTTTGGTTGAGCATTGAGAAGGTATATCAAAATCCTTTAACTCTTTCTGGATCTAACATTTAAAAGTATACGACTTTGGAATCGGGAGACTTTGTTGTGGAAATGATGCGCCTGCGATGGAACAGTACAGTATTAATTTAAAGAACGCTTGCTGTCAAACTAGAACTCCCTGGCATAAAAAGCACGGCTTTTGGGTGACAAAACCCAATTTAATTTGTCAACGCCAACAATAGAAAAATGTTTACGCCCTTTGGAAACTCAACACGCCCGCCAAAAGTTCACATTATGCCCCTAGCAATGGCGTGTTTTCAAGGAATGAACACTTTCTTTTCAATGATGTAAGAGCATGTTTAAAATGTAACCTGCAAGCTCAAATGCAATTGGCTATAACTATAGTTTTATTCCCATGCTCATATCATTTTCACAGTCGTATCTTTTAAGGTACTGAGTTATAAATGTCCACAATTTTTAAAGGTTGTGCAATACAAAGTGCAAAGCAGGATAGAAGAGAAACGAAAGAAGGCATTGGATGTTCATTTGAACTTCATTGTTGGTCAGACTGAGAAATATTCATCATGGCTTGCGGAGAGCTTGAAAGAAGCTAAACCATCCAGTAGTGTTGCTAGTTCAGTGGCATCTTCAACCGCTGCGTCTTCGCCTATGTCATCCCGAGAAGAAGATACAGGTAGAATGCATCTTTAATATTGCATTCCTAAAATGTTGTTTCTTAAGCCCCGTTTACACTACGCTCAATTTTTGGTACGGCACGGATAAAATTGGTACATTGAGCGTAGTGTAAACAGGGCTTTAGATGAGAAAGATTGTGACTAAGTAATCTTTACAACCGTTACGACCATAATAAAACCAGGCTTAACAATGGATGTATTTATAATGTTAGGTGACGAAAGTGATACGAATGTTACAGATGACACTGATGATGAAGAAACCATTGAAGTTGAAGAATCTTATGAGACCAAGGTGCGTGGGTTTACATGTTACGCCATTACAGTTTGTTTACAAATTAAATTAGCACTCATGTAAACTCAAAAGATTTCGAATAGAGCAAAGATATTTAAACCAAAAGCATTAGAGTTTACTATTTTAAACCTGAGATTCTTTGTTTGCAAGTGGTACAGAAACGTAATGTCAGCGTTTGTGTTCACACGAAGCCGCCAAGCGCTCCGTTTTCATCTCGCTTGTTTTCATCAGCTCTGTTTCGAAACCGTGCTCAAATTGTTATGGCAAGAGTAATCCTTGTCAAAATGAATGATATAGAACTGAGTTATTTTGAGGCATGCTATATTGATCAGTTCTTCTAATACCTGACAGGAATTCAAAAGTGCTGAAGATGAAATCTCGGCATTACAACGTGAAAGTGAGATTCCAATTGATGATCTTCTGGAAAGCTTGCCACTTGAAATGTTCACAGAACATAAAACGGAATCTGATGGTGGTGAGGCTGGTGGTGAGGCTGGTGGTGGTGGTGAGGCTGGTGGTGATGGTGATGATGATGATGAAAATGACAAAGACAAGTATGATTTAGCAGGCTATACTAAGAGTTCCAAAAAGCAGGAGCCCTCGAAAACAAGGTTGGCATTCGGCAATACCGACCTAAATGCCATCCTATCAACCTCCCAGGTTGGCAAATTTTTGCCGACCTTAATTCAGCCAAAGTAAGAATTTTTTTGTTGCTGATAGCTGTTAAAAAGTCGGTGATTATAGAATTCGATTTGTAGTTCGATTAACTAAACACACTTTGGTGTAAGGTTTAAAAATTGACAGGTATTCTACATATATTTTAGGTAAGAATCCAAAAGAAAGGCTGTCGTGTTACTGTAGATCGTGTGATTTCAATGATTCGTAAATACGTGATTACTAGTTCTCCAAGACATAGAAACAGATTTTAAGATTGCCGAGACGTGCCGACCCAAGTCAGATTTAGGTCAGCATTTTTTTGCCGACCCCAATTTTGATGGTTTTCAAGCGCTGCTACCAGGCTGTTAGCCGCAGTCAAGAATTACATGCCGATTATGCTTTAACCAATCAGAATTATCGGAATATTTGGCACGGTTTTAACCAATCAGAATTAATTAAATTGTCTAAAATGCTATACAAGAAAGCACAATTTATTAGCAGGCCAGGTTCCGTTTACAAGTTGGTATTATTAAACTGTTTATCCAGGAATGTTGAAACCAGAGAGGCAAAAGATGGGGAGCCATCCACATCGTCAGCCGAGAAAGAAAGTGAAAAAATGAGTGACGGTGACACAGCCCAGTACGTATTATTATTAAATTGTATTTCTTGTCCCGTAACTGCAGAAAAAAAATAACGGGAGATACTTGTAGGTCTCTGGTAAAAATAACCGGTCAACGTGATTTTAGCTCGGTCAAAATCTGTTTTTGACCGGTCATTGATACGCTTACACTAACAGTGAAACAGACTGTTAGAAACTTGTGTCGATATATCATAGTTTCATGTTTTAATCCAAGACGTCAACAATCGCATTGGAAGGGGTCATTTTTGGCCAGTCATTGTCCGTTCACCGGCCGTTATTTTGAGCCCTGCCGTAAACCATCCCAGTGAAATGGTATGGTTATTTGTAGTGACAAAGATGATGAATTTGTGCTGAGGGATACTATGGTTGATGTGGACGATGAAGGAACATTAGATGAAGAAGAGAATCTGGGAGGAAAAGAAGATCATAGTGAAGAATTATCACAGTTAGAAAAGGAAGGTTAGGTTTAAAAATGTATAACATTTACACTCGAAATTCCTCCTACAAAAACCTTTCAAGATTTTTAGTTCTATTGTTAAAACTGTGTAGAGTTAAGAGCAGGGATGGATCCAGCATGATCTGGTGGGGGGCGGGGGGTCCCGGGGTGCTCTGCCAGCTCTGGTGCTGAGTTGTGTCGGTGATGTGTGCCGCCCGCCCATCAACTTGCTTCACTACTACAAAGTCTTGCTTGACTACAGTATTTGAATTGTAATTGTTGTTCACAGTTCGCTTATCACTCAAATTACTGTATCTCATTTTGTCTCTAATAATTTTTTGCTTTATCATGAAAAATAGCACCCCCCCTTCACCCCCTCTGGCCAGGGCTAGGGGGTGTGCACCCCCCCTCCCAGTAAATCCATCCCTGGTTAAGAGAGCAAGCCTTAGCAATTTAACACTCCATAGGGATGGACCATTAGGAAACAAAGAAAATATCTCCGCAAAACAATTTCATAACAAGTACACAGCTGTAAAAAATCATGCAAGCTGAAATCCCTCCATCCCCCCTCCATCACTTTTCTAATGGTCTGCCCTTTAATTGTGGTTGGTCATGAATTATTAATAACATATTTTATTCAGGTGATTTACCAATCGAAGAACTTCTTAAGCAGTACAACGTTCGTGAAGATTACGACGCCGATGAAGATTACGATGTTGATGAAGTACACAGAGATGAATACAGTGAAGAAAGTTCTGACGAAGGTTCAATACACAAATTGACATATAAAATCTGCTAGATTTTAGCATATCACTTGACCAGCTTCTACCAGGGTTTTTCCTCCCCAAGAGGGAAGACCCTGGGTACAGGGTTTTATCGGTCTCACAGATGAAAGGCTCTTACATTAACCAGTGCATCACCAACATCTTTATTTGTTATGTGCTTCTGTAGACTCGAGTGAAGAAGAAGGGATGGAGATTCTGTTGCAAAGTGATGCCGCTCAAGAGACGTCAGCGAAACCTAACACACATGTAAGCTTAGCAATGTTTATAACATAACTTTTAATATGAAACATTTGGGCTGAAAGTAGTGCATTTTCCTGTGTGTAATACAAATTAATACAAAATTTGCAAATTTTCGCAGGGCTATATTTTCCTCATTTTTCAACATTTGGCAACCAAACTATGAAATGTTACAAATTTTAACATGCTCTTTCTAGCTGTGGTGATGGATTTTGTTGTTCTTGCCTAGATCAAAATTTAGTCAGTAGCTGAATAGAGCAAAATTTAGTCTATTGAATGCAAACAAATTTACATTGTTTTAGTCTGAAAGTCCCAATCAAGAACTGACGGATGCAGCAGCTACAGCTGAAAGTCTGCAACCAACTGGTTACACGTTGGAGACAACACAGGTGAGTGAATCACATCTAAATGAGGTGCAACTTACTCAGACTCAACGTACTGTGCTTGTGATTATCATACAAACAACACAAATGCTAATAGAGTATTGTATAAGCTATTGCAAGGTTGCCTTGAGTTGGATAAAACTCGCTTTGGCTCGATAGTTCAATATGAGTACCAATACATTGGTCTCAACGAGTTGCATGAGAATGTTTGAATGGTATACTAACATGTATGTAGTTCTGAAGTTAAGGACTGTAGTCTTTACTATAACTCACTATTTAGGTAAAAACACCAACACCATTACTACATGATGGTACCTTACATGAGTACCAATACATTGGTCTCGACTAGCTGGTCACCATGTATGAAAAATGTCAAATGGTATACTGGCATCTAGTCCAGTGTTAAGTACTGTAGGCATACTGTATCTGTAGCTCCACTGCTTAGGTAAAAACACCAACACCATTACTACATGGTGGTACCTACATGAGTACCAATACATTGGTCTCAACTAGCTGGTCACCATGTATGAAAAATGTACGAAATGGTATACTGACATCTACTCCAGTGTTAAAGTACTGTAGGTATACTGTAACTCCACTGTTTAGGTAAAAACACCAATACCATTATTACATGGTGGTACCTTACCTGGCTGGGTACCATCTGTGATCATTGTCTGAATGGTATACTTCGATGACTATAGTCCTAACTGGACTCTGTTGTTTAGGTCAAAACACCAATACCATTTCTCCTACGTGGTGGTACCCTACGTGAGTACCAATACATTGGTCTCGACTGGCTGGTCACCATGTATGAGAAGTGTCTGAATGGTATACTGGCAGACGAAATGGGTCTTGGTAAGACAATCATGACCATTGCAGTTCTGGCTCACCTTGCGTGTGAGCGAGGCAGCTGGGGACCACATCTGATTGTGGTACCAACGAGTGTGATGTTAAACTGGGAGATGGAATTTAAGAAATGGTGTCCTGGCTTCAAGATTTTGACCTACTATGGTAGCCAGAAAGAACGGAAAATCAAAAGAACGGTATGGCATTTTTTAAAGGCGATACCGGATTCACTTTTTACGGCACCAACATATGTCGTCCAGGAGTAATAGACAGATTTAGATCGAGGACGTGGACGTCAAAGACGACGTGAAAATGGCGTAGCATATCCATACATGGGCACAACACGCCATTTTCCACGTCATCTTTGACTTCCGCATCCTCTATCTAAATCTGTCTAATGTCTACCACTGGCCCACAAAGTTTCCCACTTTAACAGTTTTATTTTGTCATGTCACAATTTTAAGTGTTAAGGGGGGAGTACACCTTAAATTTTACATTTGCGACATCATGTTATTGTATCGGCTCTTAATATTGATAGATTATTGCAATTGCAACATGCTATACATCATTTCAAAGCTTATTAGATGCTGAAAACGATTATAAAAATACTGGGTTACAAAAGTTAATTCATCATAGGAAAAAGTGCTTGGAAACATGACAAAATCTATTTTTCGGCAGTCCATCTTCAAATTCTATCTTGTCAGAGGCCACCTATCATAGGCTAATGATAATTATTTCTTTATATTTAGTACACTTTAGAGAAAAAAATGATGGATGCTTTTGGAGTAACTAGGTTTCTTGTTCCCATGGGAACCACATGAATACAAGTAACATTTCACTGTGGGGTAAAATTTGTCTAAAATGTTAAGGAAGTAACTAATTGAAAAAAGCATCCATCATTTTTTTTAGCATTGTC